GTCCCTCCCCATCAGAGACGTCGTGTAGGCAGTGGGAAGCCTCTGGGTTTTGCACAAGGGAGTATAAAATCCAAGCTGTGGCACAGAGGTTTGCAGTTACATTTGGTAATGGTGATTCTTTTTGTTTTCAAATATCAGTGACAACAAGGTTTGTCTGGGAAGGTGGTGGGGTCTGATTTTTTGCAAAGCCATCAAACTGTGGGACAACGTAGGGTGGATTTCCTGATGTTACCAATCAAATCCTGCTTGGAATTCTTTAGTGGTAGCAAATCAGCATCCTCTTCTGCCCTAGTGGGTTCCCGTCACGTCTGTGTGTGGCAAACTGGGAGCTGTTTGTCTCTCTAAAGAATTCTCAGGCAGTGCCAGTGTTTGGATAGTCACAGCCAGATCTGAACGTTGGGCAAAAGGCTGCAGCGGGTCCCACCAGCACCCTTTGCTGTGTACCCAGGCAGGGTCATTCCTGGGCAGTGCTCAAAGTTGCCAGAGCTTGCTGGACTGAAACTCTTGTCAGAAAATGTCCTGTGGTTTTTCCAACAGTTAGAAGAGTTTCATTTCTACATTTCAGTTGTTTCCTTAAACTTTTCATAGTAGAAGCACACACTCCTCCCACTCCTAAATAGATTGATATCCTGAAAGTCCTGGTCTCTTGAAATTAAACTGACTTGTAGGGCCAGTTTAGAGTTTTATAGAAACGTTACTAGGCATTTCTATTTCCTTGTCTATTAAGACTCTTTCATACAGTTGTTTTTTTTAAATTTTCCACACCTTGGATACATCAGTGATTTTTTTACACAGGTGCTTAGCTTTTGATATCATGTGATTCCAGGAATCTAAGCAGGGTCTTTTCTTAATCAAATACTGGGGTTTCATGTGATTGCCCACTTGAAAATCCACGATTTCATCTGAACCCTCAAACTCAGTCTCTTGCTTGGCAGAGCTGTTTTTAACTTGCCCATTTCCTTTAGTTTTGCAGTTTTTGGCATGTGTTTCTCTCTGGAATTTGTAGGTAACGTCCCCCTGCAAGCAGACAAAAAAGAAAAGCTTCTTGAGATCCGTGGTGGCTGTTTGCATCTTGCATAATCCATTCTTGACTTGCTTGTGCCACTGGAGGGGGAGCTCAAATTTCATTCTCAATGTGACTCTTGAAGCCTAAGGTGCAGACACATGCTGGCATTTTAATCTGGCATTAGGGGAGGCAAATCTTAATACTCGTTGCTTGCACAGAATGTGTCCATAAATTCGTTGCCAGTTTCTCACATCCACAACTTTTGATTAATTCATCATAGTTTAAGAAACTCACAGTCCAGAATCTGTCATAGCCCCTGGATTATTTTAAAACATTTTCATATCATTGTCCTGGAGTGCACTACATTGTTGGGAAGTCTGTTCTACAAACAGCTTCAGTCAAAATAGAATATCTTTTTCTTTACGTAAGGCCCTTGACTATCCCTTAATCATTTCCTCTGGAGTGTGGCAGTTGCTAGCAAATACTAATCTGAAATTAAACTCATAACAGGAAGCTCTCTGTTCTAAAAATGTGGTTATTTGGCATGTTTTGCCTTCTGAAGACAAAGGGCAGAAGGCTGGTCAGTGTTACTGGCATCTGAACCAATTCCCCAGTGCAAGTCTGGAAAGTTTCTATAGAGGGAGGATTTTGTGAAGCAACGTGCATTGGATTTGTTTGCAAAGTGTGTTGGTTTTTTTCTGTAATCTAGTGATGGTACAGGATGTGTTTGTTTTATTTTTAAAATAGTGTGATCTTTCCTTGGTATTATTTTCTCACTGAAGCTTCATATAAGCATGGTTAATTATGACTCGTTTCAAAGTAATTTTGCTGTGCTGTTAGTGCTGATGTTTGGATGGCAACTGTTGCATCTGGATGCTAAACATAAGTCTCCTGTAGGAACGATTTGTGTCTGAGAAGGAATTAAAGTGGGTGTAGGCTATCAGGGTGGTGACTTGGGTACAGAAGTTCCTCCTTTGAGCCTGCTACACAAAAACTCTACAACACTCTCAAATCAGTTTTGCTAACATTTGATAAAAACAACCAGGTATCTTTTACACTTACCAAGTGCCAACTCTTTTCCCCGAGGGCTGAAAATCCTCAGAAGTGATGGAGGTGATGGGTAAGTGTGTTGTGAATTTGCACTGCATTTTGTGTATCTAACTTTATTGGTATTGGTAGCCTCAAAATATTTTTACTACTTGTTAAATTTTCTGTCTTTTGGTAACTTTTGTGATACCATGACCTTTCAGGGATCCTTTATCTAAAACCAGACTCTTGTGCAAACTACAGACAAAGCTAATGCAATGTTTCTGTCTGGAAGCAAAACAATGCATTATTGCATATGCATGTGGCTGATGTGCCTTAGGATCACTACTGGTGATTGTAATAGTAGGATATTAGCATTCTTACCATTTGAATGGCCATTGCTTGACTCTAATTTAAGGGCTCTTCAAGAGCACTTTTACAAAAAGCTCACCCTAATATTTCAGAAAAAAAAAAAAAGGCTGTGTCTGCTGTTTGTAAGATTATATTTGCCTTCACTGATGGGTAAGTTTGAACTTAGATAATGTAACTAATGTGATGTTTCAGTTAGAGCAGTCTCCTAACTGAAATCCAGCTGCTCATGAAAAGCATTTTGCCATTAATTGTGCGTGTGTGCACACAAACTGTAAATATTTACTTGACTGCTGGTGATGTCTAAAGGAGAAAGAGGACTGTGGAAAGCTGTTTCAAATCCTGTCAGAAAGAAATGTTACAAAACACTAACCTGAACAAGTTGGGCCAGAGTTGTGTTGGTGCTTTTGACCTGTTGCCCTTTGATAGCTTCTTCTGTTCTTTTATAGCTAATAAATAAATTCTGCTCTGGCTAGGATGTTTAGAATCATACTAATTTGCACTGTTTATAAGATAGTGAGATTAAAATGCCATAGGCAAGCTGAGACTTGAGAGGGGGTGACTCGGTATGCTTGCCACTATATATATATATATTATTATGTTGTCTGAGGATGTGTAATGTCTGCTGCAAAGAGCATCTGCTTCCCCAAAGGAATTGGAGTGGAGGAAAATCTTTTCAATAGGATGTGTAACATGGCTTTAGAGTGTTGGCAGCATTGAAGGTGCTCTCTTGGGAGGGCATGGCTTTGGCCAGTCGTGTGTGCAGTTTTGTGACTGACTCCACTGTAGACGGTTGGTTGAGGATCAGCACTGACTGGCTTCAACTCAAGGATGAGTTTCACTGCACTTCAGTTCTGTCTTCTAGAGGAAGCAGAGTTGGTTCCAACACAGCTACTCCACACAGGTCACCTTTGTACAAGTGACCCTGGAGGGACTGTACAGGATAAAAGCTTTTTAGTGACTCCAGAAGGCAGAGCCTTGGGCGCAGCCTGGTCATGGGTAACAGTTACACTTGGTGCCCCAACTTCTGCAACCTCAACCTCGACCTCTTCTGGGACTTCTCTGCCCTCTCAAACTGGAATAATGACGTAGCTACAGCGCTCAAATCAGCAATTCCTTTAGCCTGAGTATAGAGCTACCTGGCATCCATGGAGCTCAGAGGAGGTGGAGTCGTCCTGCACCTGAATGGTTCCTCTGTGTAGTCCTGGACAGTCTCAGAAAGGGGCAGTTTGATGTGCCTGGCCAGTGTGAAACATACAGTGGATTTGTTTGCATAATAAGTCTTTCTGTAATCTACTGTGGTCTGATTTTAAATAAAATAGCATATCTCTTGGTGTCATGTTGCTATTGTGGCTTCATTTCATCATGGTGGAATTACATTAATGTTCTTCAACACTGATGGTGTTTTTTTCAAACAGGGAAAAAATTGCATTTCAGCTAAGATAAGTTAGGAGAAATGAGTCAACCAGAGTTATTCAAGAGTATGAGTCAGAGGGCAGAAAAGACCTGATGTGATTTTTTTGTGTGTGTGGTGATCTGTTGCTTTTTTAATAATGTGGAATAGAAATCCTCCTGCAGAGTCACTGATAATACATGGAAGAAGATCCCTTTTGAAATTGTTTCTTGCTAGGTTCTGTTTGTGGTGGCTACAGACATTCTGTAACCTGCTGCTGCTGCAGAAATAGGAAACTGCAGCTGAGGAAAACTGGCTGTGCTGACTCAGAGCAGGTGGGCGAGGGAAGGAGATGGTGTTATGTAAAAGCTGCAGCTCTTCAACTTGGCTCTGCTTGAAGAAGGTGTGCAGGCAACTTCAAGGAGTGACTGTTCCAAAACGGGCTCCCTTGGCCATTCCCCGTGGCTCACGTGCACCAGGAGCTCATCTTGGAGTGGGATTATTCCCTGTGCCAAGGAGAGGTAACCCAGTATGGTCAG